GATGGGTTGGATGATGAGTGGAAAAGGAGTGTATGGTTGTGTATGGTGATGGGGAGGAGATGAGATGCAGCGGGCGAGGTCCTGCAGCAGCGGTCGTAGGCGGAGCGAACAGGAGGAAAAAAAGATGCGCTCGGATGGGAGGCCGGAGTGCGAAGGGTCAGAGACAAAACAGACAATTAAAATCTCAGAAAAATCAAGGCCGGATTTTCCAGCAGCAGGAGCAGGAGCAGGAGCAAAGCAAGAGAAAGGGAGAAGATGCAGATGCACAGCGGGAAAGTCTGGCCGGGCGAGCAAGGCCGTGGATTGGCTGGATGGGACTGGATGGGTATCAACCAGGAGCCTAGCTGGGGGTCAAGGTGGTCAAGGTTGGGGAATTGTGTGCTGGTGGACGTTGGAGCGGCCGGGTGGCAGGGTGGCTGGGTGGCTGGGTAGCTAGCTGGCTTTAGGCCACTTTGGGCAGTCTGCGCCTATAATTTTACTGCCCGGCCAGCAACCACTTCGCTCTGGGTGCCCTGAAGACTCGCTGGCTGCTTCATGAAAAGGACAGGGCCAGGGTCAGTGACGAGGAAGGCGCTCAGGACACCCACCGGCCCCGCCCACTCTATTTCGTGGTCTATTTCAAGATTTCAAGGCTTGTGAAGACCTTTCGGGGGCACTCAAGTCTGCACCGCGGAGAGTAAATTGACGGTGAGGGGGGCCCTGGCTTATCACTGCACCCACGGCACCGTCTGCACAACCAATGTCTATGCTGTCGACGGCATTTTCGGAGACAACAACCTCTGGCGAGTACCAGTACTCGTACCCGAGTACTGGTGAGCATACTCGAGTAGTAGTGCCCACGCTTGCTTCCCACTCGCTTGTTCTATGGCTGGTGATGGCACGTCAGGTTAGTTCTAGTGTAGTGTAGGCAGCTCTATAGTACCTAGTCAACCTAATTGGGCCGAGGCATTACTTGACAGGTGCGCTGCCCTAGGGTAAACTAGTCTACTCGAGTCCCTCGAAGTCTACGGCTTTACTTCCTAGGTATATAGGTAATAGAATTAACTCGATTGTTTACGGCCTGGGGTATCCTAATTTAAAGCGGGCCTCGCGAGCACGAACGCCTACGGCTACTCGTAGATCCCCTAACGCTAGTCTCCTAGTACCCCCTGTTAATTTCCTCTTTAGGAAGTTAATACTTAGTAGAGTACTCCGAGGCTCTCCTAGACCTTAGCGGCTATCTATTAGGTATTATAGTAAACTTAGTATTTACCTAAATAATATAAAGATTTTATATTATTAACTATATCTATTATAGTAACTAAAACCTTAAAAACCCTATATAAAGTTTCTAATATTCTAAGCTATTAGTATTTATACCTATAGTATAGATTTAACTATTCTAAGTAGGAATATATAGCCTATAACGCTATTTTATAAAAGAAAACGTCGAGGTAAATTATAAATTAATCATAGTAAAGATATTATTAATTTTATTACTTCGCTAAATATACTAAATACGTCTACTAGGAATTCTAGGCCTACTAGACCTTCTACTATAGCTATTTACTCTAATGTTTATTCTAAACCTTTATTTACTAAGTTCTAACGCGAGGTCTCCTTTAATCAGAAGCTGAATTATTTATATAAGTTATATATATTTAGTATTATAGCTTCCCGGATATTATATTTCTATTAAGCTCTTTCCTTACTTCTAAGCTCTCTTCTACTAGTAATAGAGCTTTATAACTTAAGGCCTAGACTTCTAGCTTCCTAGCTCTTATTAATTATACCTTATCTTTTATTCTTTACGCGTATATACCTTTGTTTACTACTTTAGTATTCTACGATATAGTTATATTTACTACTAAGCTAATTTATAGTTAAGAATTCAAGTATTTTATTATTAGTTGTTTTCGAGATACTAAGTAAATATTATTATTCCCGACTATTTTACCTAGCGAGGTAAATACTAAGTTCTTAATAAGTAACCTTTTATAAACGTCCTAGGGGAGGATTAGGGCTAATATACCACTTCTATAGCGTTTATTTACTTTATTTTTTAATATGATACCCGATTCCGAGTCCGATATAGGAGATAATAATCTAACTAAGAATACTAATAATTAGTATACTATAAGTTCCCTTATTAATATACGTCTTATATTCGTATTCTCGATATTATTCTATACTACTAGCTCCTATAACTAAAGATTTTAGTATTAGATTAGAATAGTTTTAAAAGCTAGTAGTATAGGGAATAAGGTTCTCTCTATACTTAATTAGTTAGAAGTCTTAATAGCTCCTAATATAGCTATACGTATATTAGATATACTCTTAAAATTGTGGTCTAAATTACTTTTAGATCTTAGGAAGGATTTAGCGATAAAGCCCTAGTTTTTAGTCTTTAATAATATTTAACTACTAGAAAAGGTACTCCACGCGCGAATTAATAATAAAAATATATTCTTTAATAGTACTACTAGGTATATAACTAAGGTAATTCTTTTAAGAGAGGGTTAGAGGCTACTAAAACTCGATTATTTTTATCCTAAGAGAGTAAGAGTAATAACCTTTAATTAGCTAATGTATAATACTAAGGCCAATTACTTTATTTATAATTAATAAGCCGTTCTTGTAAATTAGAATAAATATTAGTATAAATACTAATATAACTAGATTTATAAGTAATTAGTATATAACATTATTGTGACGGAGCTGGATTTCATTTGACAGGATTTTATTCGCTTGGCCAAGCACGTGATGAGACTTGGCATTGGAACAACTTAAATAACTTCGCTCCTTTCAGATTCTCTTCTCTCTTTAGTTTGATTTCTTCGTACCTACGGTTTTAGTTCTAGCAATTGATTCAAAAGCTGTATACACTTTATCCTTTGTTGGCATCCGTGACAATTATTAAGTATCTCCTAGAGCCTTTCTATAAATAATATAGAATTCTACCTAAGCCCTAGTTCCTTAAGAATACTCTCGAACCTAGCTAGGTTAGTAGAGTGCTTAAGTATAAACGTTATAAATAGTAACCCCTCGCGACTAGAGATCTTAATAAAGCTAAAATCGTAGATATAATTCTTTAGTTAGAAGATATATATTATAACTAGCTTTACGTTTCTTTTAATACTACTAATACCCTAATATACCTAATATCTAGTAACGTTACTTCTATTATTAATAGTAGAAGTATAATTTAGTATTAATCTAAAGATACTAGCAAAAAATCTCTATATAATATATTCCTAGTATTTGGCCTTTTCTATTTACGCATTTGTTTTATTAAAACGTTTATAGTTAATTATATATAATATCTTATACTATTTATTAAAATAATTAGCTTAGAAGGTATTAGTAAGAAAGGAATAACAAATTTCTATACTACTAAGGAGCTTTTAGAATAGGTCTATTATAGGTATATAATCGCTTTTATTTAGTTAAAGTCGAAGAAGATAGAGAAGTAGCTATGAGATCTATAGAAATAGTATAATAACGTTATAAAAGAATAGTACTACTTGCCTAATACTTAAAGAAACCCCTTTATTAAGGAGATATATAACGATTTATTTAATATTATTTATTAGATTAATCGGCGCTTCTAGTTACTACTAGACTAAGGTTATTTTAATAATATCTATGATTTTATAAGCAATATAGTTCTATATCTTAATCTTAAAGAATTAATTCGGAATAAGTATATAAATTATATATTTAAGACTATCTAATAGATCCTACGTTGTTTCGCTAACTCAAACTATTATAAATACGCTTATAAGATTATTATATTCTAGATAGTAAAAGAGTTATATAATAAAGAGACGTGGCTTTATATTATTAATAAGTATTTAATTAAAGCTAAGGGAGATAGGTTTATTAAGGTAGACTATAGATATAAGTATTATATCTATAATTAGAAAACTCTTTATAATTAAAAAAAAGGTAACTTCTAGTAGAGGGATATACTAGATAGTAATACTATACTTACCTTATATATCTTAATAAATACTCTAGAAATATTTATAGGGAATCTAGACTTTATAAAAAAGTAGAAGAAGAAGTATTACGTTCTTAGTCTAGAGAGGAATATCCTAAATATTATTAATAAGATATATCTACTTAGTATAATATATCCTAAGAATAATATTATAACTCTTTATTTATAGAAAGATTTGTTTTCTTTGAGGATTAAGAAGATTATAAGATTTAATATAGCTAAGTATATAGATAATTTACATAGAAAGTAAGTATTAGTTAGGGAGGGGATTTTATAGCCCTAGGACTTTTCCTTAGTTAATAAGGATAATAGAAATAAGAGTATAGAAGTAAGTAAGAAGGTTTAGGCTTAAATATTAATACCTCCTCTACTCTAGCGGAATTAGGTAGTATTTTATTTATTTATATAGAGAATTTTAGAATAAATATTAGTATAAATATATACCTAGTATAGTATCTTTTATTGTTTACTAACGCCCCTACTCCCATTATATTATTAATTATATTTTAAAAGCCTCTAGACTAGCCTTGAGCTTTTTAACCTTAAGATCCCTATAAATAGTCGTTTACTTATAGTAGAATATATTCCTCCGAAGTAGTATTCCCTCCTAATCTACTAGTATAACCTTACTATTAAGTATTTTAAAAGCTTACTAATATCCCTCCGGATTAGTAGAGTCTTCTTTCTTAATATCTTAACTATATAAAGTATACTACTCCTCAGTTTTATAATACTACTAAGATATAGGGCTAGGGAGCTTATAATTATTATCCTTATTCTATATAATAGCGTTTATAAATAAAGCCTACTCTATAGGAGTAAAGAGTTCCTAGGGTATAATAAAGCGAGGGAATTCTCTAATTAAATTAGTATAAATATTAGTATAAATAGAATAAATACCTACCTTATAGACTTATAAAGGCGCTTTATAGTACGTAATTACCTAATAAGGTTAGTATAAACTATAATAAAAAACGGATAAATTAAATAATTACTTCTTAGTAGCTAGTTTAATAGAACACTATATAATAAAGACCTAGCCTATATAATTAAGTATTTCCTACTTCTTACTAAAAGAGTCTTATATATTTCTCTAAGCCTTCTACTAAAGCTAGGAAGCGCGCTTAGAATTATCTTATTAAGAATATTAGTATTAAATACTATAAGATATTAGTATAAATATTAGAATAAACGTACCTTAGAAAGCTTTTATAAAGTAGTATTTATTATAGTTTTACTACTTAATCTATCTTACTTTAGAGCTTTAATTTTCTTCTTAAGCTTATTACTAAAATTCTTTATATTATTAAGACTTTAAAGGTATTTAAACTTAGCCTATAATATAGGATTTTTATTAGCTTAAGATTCGGTTATTTCCTCTTAGTCCTTTGCTTTTATATATATAATAGATAAATAAATACTAGCTTTAATAAGTAAAGATATTAGTATAAATATTAGGATAAATAAGTAGAGATACTTCCTATCTTAAAGTTTTTAACTTCTTAACTCTCTCTTCTAGAAGCTTTCGGGTAACTTTATCTATAGTAATCTACTTATTTATTTACTTATATTTCTAATAAGATATAAGAGGTTACTTTTTTTTAGCTTATTAAAGTTTAGCTTTTAGAGTATAATACTAAGGATCTAGCTTTTATTTAGCTTAGTAGCGCTTAACGCGTTCTATACTAGGTATTATAGCTTTAAGATAATCCCTTATACGCTTAAAATACTAGTACTATTAAAGTATATTATAGTTTTAGATATCTCTAATTCATTAAATAAGTAGATTAAAATAAGATAATTAACTACTATTAGACTACTAGCTTAATATAAAACACTTATTCTAAGTAGTATAAAAGTATAGAACAGGTTAGATTAATTAAGCTCTTTGTTAAAACTAAGGGTATTCTAGGGTTATAGACTAATTAAGTTTATAACTTTAAACTTTTATATTTCTAGGAGGGTACTAGAGTAGATAAACTAAGGTATCTTAGTACTAAAGTAGCTTCGAATCTTTTCTAATTTATTATATAAAGTTCTAAAGTTTTAGCCCCTAGGATCTATTAGGTTTAGGATAAATATTAGGATAAATACTAAGTTCTATATAGTAAATAATATAAAGTAAAATATAAAATAAATACTAAAGTAAATATACTACTTATTAACTAAATATACTTTATTTATAGTAATTATGTTAACTTTTATATAAAAAGAAGAATCTAGCTATAATACTATATATATTTATTATTACGCTTTCTTAGGGCTAATGAACACCTATTAGTATCTCCTAGCCTTTACTTTAAGTATATCTTTTAGTATACTTAATCTATATAAGAATATCGCGCCTTTCTTAGGTAGATAGGTTTCCTAATCTATATCTTTTAAACTTATAAACTTCTAGTTAATCAATTTATATTATTTGTTATCTAACTTTATAAAGGAATAAAGATAATTATAATTATTTAAGGATCTAAAAGTAGGTAGAAAAATATAAAACCGTAGAATATTAATAACTTTCCCTATTCTATATATACTTTTAGTACTATATCCTTTCCCCTAGTTAGAAATATCAATATACTTTTCTAACCTAAGTCTAATCTAAAGTCTAATATATTTAAAGGCGTAAAGTATTATTTAATATTTAAAAACCCTCTCTTTAAAGTTATAATTAAAATATCGCGTTCTATTTAGTATCTAATATAAGAGATTAGTAAACTTTATAGTCTTATAGGATTAAAAAACCTTAATTCGAGACTATTTATAAAAGATAGGTTTAGTAGAGTAAATAGTAAACTACTATTACTATTACGTCGAGTTAGTGTTTTTAGACTTTATAGTAGTAGAAGTAGTAGTAATAATAGCCGAGTCTTTTTAGTATTTATAAAGTTAAAACTAAAGTCTATAAAACCTTAATTAGAATTAGATATAAAGGAGTCCTATAGATCTAAATCTATATTAGGTAAGAATAAAGTTATTATATTTACATAGTATATAATTATTCATATAGAAGTTCAAAGTAGCTTGTATAACTTACTTTACCTTATATAAAAAGATTTTATTATATAGAAATAAATTTTAGAAATAAAAGTTAACTAGGAGTCTTAATATTAGTATAGATCTATATGTAAAAATCTAGAGGATTCTAATAGTACTATTATCTTAATAATATCTCCTTTAATAATAAAGATACTAGCGTATTTATTTTATTATACTTATATAGTTTTAAGCTACCTCTACTAGTATATACTTAGCTACTCTACTATACCTACCTTTCTACTAAGCGAAGTGCTCTATTATTATCTACAGGGCTTAAATTAAGGTTTAACCCTATAAATCAACGATTTATATGCCTTGTATAGCTTCTAGTACTAGGAGACTAGAGTAAGAGGCTCTGCTAACTCGTTCCTCGTTGTTGAGGCCTGAGGCTCTTATTAGTAAGAATGGGCCTAGCGGGTGGAGGCAAAGGCTACTTCTAACCGAACCTTTGGGATGCTCGAGTACTGCGCAGGCAGCGCAGCAGGGAATACTCCTGATTGGGTCGCCGCCAATTTACTCGCCAACACCACCACACGATGGACATGGCCACGACCACCTTAGCGGGGACGACGGTTGAGACCGTTGGACCAGAATCACCCGGATCCCTCGCCTGGAACATACCTACTTCGTACTTCAGATGCGTGGCGAGGATGTTAATGGCACTCTGTGGCCACTAGCCACCAGCCACCAGCCAGCACCGCACCGTGGTCCTGTTGGAATTGCATACTCCCTATTTTGATGGACGCGGTCGACATCGCGTCAGACCCCTGCCGACTTCCTGGCTCCCCATCCAGCTTCTCTACTATAGCATCTACAATGGCTCAAGATTTCTTCGGGCACCTGCATCCTGACTGCCCCAGCTTCATCACCCCTCACCCACCCTCACCCTCACCACCATCGCCTCGTCTTTCCCTATCATGGCAAGGTTCGCAACCAAGGTTGAAGTTGAAAGTTCATCCGACCTCCCTCGAACTTTCTACACGCCTCATCAATTACGGAAAGTCCGAAGCGCTCGTCTACCGCAACGTCAACAACTCCCCTGAACTGATACTCTACATCCCGTGGAAAGCGCGACTATTGCATATATATGCCAGCCTGCTCGTACCCTCATCCACCATTCCATTCGGATCAGAATCTCAATGCGGCCCATATCCGTACCGGTACCAGTTTTCTCGAGAAGAGTCACTTGTTCAAAGAGTTAAAGCAATAGTCTTTGGCGAAGGATCATCCAAAAGCGCAATCGCAACATCTCACTGCATCTTGACAAAACGTAGTGTGACATACAGCGGAGAGACGTGCGGTGCAGCTGAGCCAGGAAGATTTGAGCTTCATCTTAGATGCAGTACCGACATGTACGAACCACTATACTCGAGAGTAAGCCAACAGGAACAGGAACGAAAAGAGGGGAAGACAACGACCGCAGACTACTTGGGATCCCAAGCGACCTCTTCACCTGAATTCCGACATCAACGAGAGAAAACGAATCATCCTATCTGAAGCTAAATGTTGCTGCATCGCACCATCGAAATGTCGAGCCGCGAAGGTTTTGCTTCCTGAGAATTCCAGCTCGACAGGGGAATGCAGACGCCCATACCGCTCCGCCTCCCACAAGAAGCTTCAAAACCACTCAACGTGGACCATGAGAGACACTGCTGTTGGAACGGTACGTCCACTTCAGAACTCTCACAGCAGCTCCAGAGTTGAATCATGGTGTGTGAAAAAAGTGGCATCGTGTTACCATGAATTCTCGTCCATGTTGATAGACAACTAAAAATCCGCCCCACGACGTGCAAATCCCACGTCACGATATCTTGGCGGTTCGTCCAAAGCCAGCCGCGTTAATCGTGGCAATGAAGATGTTCGTCGAAATACGCGGCATAAACCAGCTGGGGGGCCCAAGTGGGCTGCGGTCCGCAGTGGATGTAGACCACATCAAGACAAGGAAGTAAACAGGCTGCTCAAGATTTTGCAAGATTGCAAGATTACGATGACAAGAGGGGCTATAGACGGATTTCGCACCGTTATGATTCAACATCACAAATCATGAGCAATCTTGGCCAACCCCTTTTCAAAATTGGACGATTTGTCAATTCATTTCGTCTCTCGCTCCTCAATTCAAGTCTTCCAATTTATTCTAGATTTCCTATCCCAAGCTACCACAAGGATGATGATGTATTCTGGGGAACATTTGAGTTCAACGGCTCAATTTTGACTTTTCCTCTGCATCCACCAGCATCCAACCGGGTCATGCGCTAACCGGAAAAGATTTGAGAGATCAACGTGTTTCTGGCACAGGAAAAATAACTGAGAGAAAATTAGGTTGCCATCTTCTGGATTTGTCCTTGCAATTTCGCAGCGCCACAGGGTCTCTCGGAAGTTTCCTTTATCGGTTCATGGGTATCGAATGCGATCGCGTTATCTCTGATAGCGATTTCAGCGTGGTAGTCGAGTATTTCCAAGGGATTGCACTTTGTTCTAGAATACCACAGTTCGGGAGCATCGGATGAACAATAATACCAACTGATTTTTTTTGGGGGGGATTACTCGCCAAACTAATTATCTTCACTTTCAGCCCAAAAACTCTCGAGAATGCTCCTACTCAATCTACATCATTAGCTTGCCATAAGGAACCTTCATTAACCTTGGTACTCACCGCCGGAAACAAATTTTCAAACACTGTTCTATTTTCAGAAGCGATTTTCCCCCGAATGGTGACAACACAAGGGGCTTGTTCCTCTGTAACGAACAAGAGGAAGAATCGCACGCAAGCGACGCTCGAGATATCACCGCACCTACCTTTTCAGGGTTCGATGTGCGACATATTCGAGACTTTCGAAAACCGTGGAGTGGAGTGTACTACCCCATATTTTTCACTTACCCGACCTCGAAAGCACATCTTTTGGATGAACAAAAGTCAGTCCAGGCGATAGAACGACCGAGACAAGAATCACAGTTTTATCTCGATTCTTCTCTAAGAGGTACGTACCCCAGGTTAATTTTGGATAATATTGTGAAAGGAATCACGGCATATTTTACAAAGTCCTGCATGCCCTGGCCTTACTACTCGGTTCCCCAATGCCCTACTGAATTCATTCTTAACGATACTCGAATATAAGAGTTCACGTACATGTACCGGCAAGCCAATTCAATTAACAGTCCTTCTAACCCTATCAAGTCTTACTTAACTTGGAATTCGCCCCCACGGACAGTAATGGCTCGGAATATTTCCACGTTGGCGGTACTTCTTAGGGGACGCGACTATCCTACTCTCTACCAATCACATGACCTAGCATATCAAAAAGGGGGGCGAATCCTCTATCAAAAGCATGATCGGCATCTCAACTTCCCGGCTTACCCCATATCTCTGACATTTCTTGCTGCTACGCCACGCAACAAACATCGCAATTGATCTTCTAGATAGATCACTCTATTATTAGTTCTAATCAGCAAAGGAAGGTTGACAACTTGATAATAGATTCCCGTCTGCTGCGTCTTCCAACGACGGTGGGTGTTCCTTTCCATTCACGGCACATGGTCAGGTTCGAAACGACATATCATTACATGTTGTTGTTCTTTGGCTCCATGGAAATATTAGTTGGCGGATATATCCCATCCCTTGCCGCATCCTTATTTACGGCAAGATTGCTACATGCAAGCCACCTTTCTTGGCCCTGTAAGGTGTGAGCCTCCGTGGTGAGTCGTTTTCTTTCGAGGTAGGTGCCATCTGCATTTTCCATCTTGTATGCTGTCTCTATACGTGTAGGTCTCACCCTCATACTATCCTTTTGCTATGATAGTATCAAAATCTCTACCTTGAGTGAAAAGAAAATTGTAGTTCCAAAGCCTTCTTCTACCTTACGCGTTCACCACAAGGGAAGGCACTTTACAAACGAAATTGACCATAAGAATGAATGGTACGATTATCAGTTCAGATATAGGCTCTTGACGTTGGGTTATTTTGTTGTCACTGTAAGCTTACTATAGGAGGACCTGCCGCAGGCCCGCAGTTTGAATAAGCCACGGGTCTAGACTCTGGATGTACTGTACTTACAGCTAGTACAGTACTGTTCTTACCGAAGTCTTGAAGTACGTAGGTCAGCTATGGATAATTGTTTTTGTCGTTTTTGTTAAGGAGTTGATTTGAGGGGTTGATGGAATGGTCCTTTGTGATGTAGTGAGTCTACTCGAGTAGGTGGATATGTAGAGAACTCCAGCGTTGTAAGAAACTACTTAACAATTCGAGTACTACTCCGAGTTACTCCAAGTTGAGTTGAGTTGAGTTGAGTATAAGTAGTGGATTTGACTTCTCGAGTAGTACTCAGAGAGAGTCACTCGATCGAGTACGTGGCGAGTTTGAGTTGAGTAGGTGCTACTACTTAACTCTACTTGACTTGTTTATAATCCTGTACTGTACTACTCTGGCGGGTAGGAGATGAGAAGGATTGTAATTGGGGTTGTACTGTTGTAGGATTTAATGATTTGTAAGTAGGTATCCTTTTCTTTATCGGCACTGATACTAATGCTAATGCTAATGCTAATACCGAGAGATATATGTGAAGAGAAGAGGTATGTATGTATGTAGCTGTACCCCGGATTCATTGATTGATTGGTTGGTTGATTGGTTGGTTGATTGGTCTTGGGGGTACGCACTTAGTCCATTCCCATATACCGCGAACCACTCTTTTTGTCTTGAAATGGTGGGGATGGATTGGAGGATTTGTGGGGGTTTATGGAGATGTGGGAAGGGAGGGAGATGGAGATAAGATGTAAGGTGGATAGGAAGAAAGGAGTAGTGAGGAAGAAAGGAGGAAATGAGGAAAGAGGTCTTTGATCGTACTACAGAATGGGTTTTGTTTATTTATTTACGACTGGGGGTAGGGATAAACGATATCTAGGTATAAGATATAGTACAGTACGGTACAGTACAATACGGATATCTATATAAACCTCATTTCACTCTCTTCCGTTGAAAATCTCATATTATATCATATTATATCATATTAACAAACTAAACCATGTCAGGCGAGTCTAGTCTTACCATTCTTTAATACACCGTTCTTTAACAATACCATTGAGTATATCGCTACTCGTATTGACAAGCGGGTATATGGTAAATGGTACAACCATCGATTGGCTAACCGACCGACCGACCCACCGACCGACTCGGTAGCGAAGAGGATACCGGGTTTTTATGGGGGTGGCAGATTGGCTTTCTATCTGATAATCTGTGTGCGACGGAGAGTTTCCTCCGATGTGTGGAGTTTGGGTGAGGTAGTTAGGTAGTGAGGTAGTGAGGTAGTGAGGTAGTTGGGTAGTTGGGTAGTTGGGTTGAGGAAGAAGGGGGTGATGGTTTTTGGGTTGTGGAGGGAGAGGGGGAGGGGAAAGTGGGTTCTTGATATGTATTGTACTTGTACTGTGCAATACCATAGGTAGTAATGTACTTGCAATGTATAATATCATAGGTGGTCCTTCTCAAAGTGCTGATCTCAATCTATTCGAATATTAAAATCTTTCTAGCTAGCTAGACTAGCTACCTGTGATTAAATCCCCACCCCTTCTCTTTACTTCCTCACTATACAATCTGCACTACTGCAATACTACATAGTACTGTACTGCGTACCTGCATTATATCATTGTATCACGTCTTCCCACCTATCCATCCATCCATGTATCCATCCCCTTTGAACGGTCCGAAAGGGGTTGCCGTTGCATACTATGGCGTATGGGTAGCTGTAAAAGAGGTACTGTGTGTTTGAAGGGAGGCGTTTCCTTGTATTGTGTTTATGTTTATGTTTGTTTGTGTTCGTGTTTTTTGGGGGGGAGGGGGAGNGTGTGTTTGAAGGGAGGCGTTTCCTTGTATTGTGTTTATGTTTATGTTTGTTTGTGTTCGTGTTTTTTGGGGGGGAGGGGGAGGGGGGGTGTTATGTGGGAATGGAATGAAATGCCCTGAGGAGGAATAGGTGTTGAAGTAGATGAAGAGATGGGGATAGAGATGGATGTAGAAATGGAAAGATTCATTAAGGGACTTGGTATGGGTACTAGGAAAGAGCGAAATTGGGGGAGGGTGTGAGGATTCGTCGGTCGGTTGGTCAGTTAATTGTTTAGATTCGAGACTTTTGAGGAGGACTGAGGTATGTGGCGATGATGGGGAATGGAGTACTGAGAGACTGGGGTTTAAAGGAGCTATGTATAGGTACGGGGTACGAGTACAGTAGTTGAACCCTCTTTCTTGTGTTTGTGTGGTATTGTATGGGCTGGCGTGGGATGAGATGAGAATTCTGCCTTTCCCATCTTTCATTCCTTCACGGTTTGTGCTTCTTATTCTTGTGTGGGGGGCTTGTGGTGTACTTTGTGGTGTGACTTGATGTGTCTTTTATTTTGAGGGGAAGTGAGTTCTTGAGGTGGAGGGTTGGGTGTCGGAGGTGTTATTTGTTGGATCTTGGGAAGTTGATGATTGAGGTTATAGTGTACTAGTATGTAATAGAGTACTTCTCCTCTTGATTTAATTCTTTGATGAGTAGATGTTCTTCCTTGTTGTCTCTTGCTTTGTTAATACAGTAGTTGCATATGTTTTATTTCAAGTAAGAGGTATAGGGATATCGAAGTGTCTTCTATTATCGATATTGTCGGTTGTAGAAGTAAACGAATAGGTAGCTTCTAGGTAAACTCGGATAGTATCTATATATTCTAGTCTTCGAGTAAAATACAGATCTTTTCTTTCTTATGTTCTTGGTCCTTGGCTCTGCTGGTCTTATCTTATTAACTTTGATAACATATACTCAAAGTAATTCTCAGAAGCTAGGTATCGGGGAACTATCGTTAAAGTAAATTATATACACGCGATTAGGCTTTTTTCCAGAAAGCACTATACGTAATTAGTATACATCAAGAAGTCCCCAGTACCTCTCATTTTGTTACCTGTAATAAAAAGACATTATTCCTACATACA